TGTCGTGTTTTGTGTTTTGAAAAGTTCTCTCCATCACAGTGTTGCGCCCCTGTAGCTTCATTTCTAATGGTAAAGACTAATTTCTGGCGTACATAAGTCGCGATAGAGTATGCCACCCGTATTCTATGCTATGTTGCTTTCATTCAGAAGTCAGACAAAGTTCGAATGTGCTTCCAAGTGGAATTGGCTCATTGGTTCTATATTGACTTCTACTGCAAACAAGAAGAAAGAAAAGATTGTGCTCAAATGGGAATGCGAGAATTTGCCAGGTAACCCTCCAAATCATCTGTCGTCCTTTGAATGGTCCCGATCAAGAAAGCCAGATTTATAGGAATTTTTAAGGCAAATTTTCAAGCATTGTGATGAGCTGGCACCCTATGCAGCACACGTAGACCAAGTACTTTCTTCAGTTTTTTGGAAAGTTGTTGAAAGAAAAGGTTTTGACATGGACTTCTTCCTAGGTTATTGACGAGTGGCGGTGGTACAAATCAACGGTTCCTACATATGGAGCAATCTTACTAGATGAAACCCTAAACCACGTGTTACTTGTTCAAGGATTCTACGCGAGCAAAAACAGTTGGGGATTCCCCAAAGGGAAAGTAAGTCAATTTTGAGGGAATGAAATATTTTTTGCCAAGTTGCCTTTGTGAAAGGCCCTCGATGTTCGTTGTTTTATTATTCTTTTTACCTGATCCTCTTCTTCTGTGATTAAGCGGGCTGCCTTTCATGCTGTGCTTGATGGCACCTCCGTTCACCAGGTGTACTGACGCTTTTCCGGTAGAAGGTAGTCCAGTTTGCAAGCGCAGAGGCTGTGCATTTCTTCCGGCTTAAAAATACGTGATGAGGACGCTAAGCGCTCGTGGCAAGGGCAATGCGCCGCCCACCGCCCTGAGTTACGCACAGCGGCCAATTTCTGCAGTTGTTCCATAACCAGTTTTTCTTTTCGTGGAGATTCGTGCAAAAGATTGCCACAAAGTTGTCCAGTAAAAGTATCAGTTAGTAGCAGACTCTTCTCTTCTTTCACGAAGTGCTTCTGAAGTGATTCTTCAAATTACCGCTTTGTTTTGCGGTCCTTGCGTTGTGTCCTGAAGACTAGTAGCGAGCTTTTCTTGCAACCTCGCATCCCTCCCCCCCCCCCCGCCCTACACACCCACTGTTGCTTTCCTAGCTCCTATACTGGGAGAGTCATAAGCTCTGAACCGTTGCATATC